GCAATAAATCAGTAAGGCAAGGACAGGCAACAAAGAAATAAACTCTGCAGCTGAGACAAGAGTCAAAATTTAAAGGGGAAGGCAACAACTAGAAGAAACTGTGCTGTCTCTCTCCTTCCCCCGCCCTTCCCTCTCCAGAGGAGAAGGAGGGGGATTCGGCTTTGTTGTAGCACTCCCGCCCCGCCCACCACAATTGAGCAAACTGTGACTACAGCAGCCCGGGAAGGAAGCAGCCAGAGAATTTAATCATCCTGAGCTCAGCCAAACAGCTGTGTGCTCAAGAAGAGTAAAAATTAGTGCACATAGCAAACGGGACTCACTTTGGAGCATGCATAGCCCAGCTGCCGGGGGGGGGGGGGCGGGGCCCAGAAACCCTCAGGGGCTCTGAGGGGGGAGTGGCTCTGAGTCTCTGCAGCATAGGCTGGGGACGAGGGAGCAAACTACCCCAGCGGCTGACCCCCCCCCTTGCAAAGCCACTCCATGTGCAGCCTCCAAGCTCCAGCTCCTCCAAGCTGAACTGAGGGCTGCTGGGAGTGGGGCAGGAAGCAAGCCCCCACCCTGACTTCCCTCCCAGTCCCAACCCACTCGAAGTATCAGAAAGCGGAGGGGAAAAAACCTTCCACTTTGAAAATGGTGTGGGGGGCGGGGGGGGGATGGCAAGGCTCTGTCTGGGTGCAGGGGGGGATTTTTCCTTTCCTTTTTTTGCAGCGCGCGCCTTCCCTTCTCCTCCTCTGCCCAAGTTGCTTCGCTGTGCCCCACCCCCAGAGAGATATTTTTATAGTCGTCCTCCCGGTGGGCTCGGGGGTTTTCAAGAAGAGAGTTCAGAGAGAAGCCCCATCCGATGCGTTAATTTCCTTTTTTTTTTTTGCACGGGCATGATCAGTGCCGAGAGACAGCGCTAGCTCCCGAGCCCCCGCGTAGATTACGCCGGTGGAATGAGCACCAGAGCATTTCCTTCAAGGCCAAGGGGGTTTCCTTTTTTATTTTCTTGTTTGTGAGACAGAAAATGGCAATATTTGTCAGGACAGGAATCTTTTGACCACCCCCACTCCCCCCCCCTGCAATAAAGGGAACTCTTCAGCGATTTCTCCCTTGAAGAGGTGCAGCCAGGAGGGGGGGGACATTTCTGAAGCCCCTCCAGGAGTCTGCTCCATGTTTCCATGGGAGAGAAAAGCATCCCTTTGGGACAAGGGAGAGAAAACCCCCCTCAAGGGGAATCCTGTGGAAGGGACCCCAAGTACAGGGGGAGGGGAATCTCCTTCTGAGACCTGCTCCAGGCTAATGACCCCCCACCCCAAATACCTTTCTCATCCTAGCAGATCTCCAAGTGTGCAGAAACCACAACCAATGAAATGGACATCTGCCCCTATCCTCCCCACCGCCCTGCTCAAAGGTCACCTCGCCAGTTGTTTCTCTTGTGAGGAGCAGGTCTCTGTGAGGGGGGGGACACGGAAAGCTCCTTCTGGGCAGCGGCAGCCCCTTTGGGGAGTGGAGAGGGGAGAGACCCCGGTGGGAGGGTGGTTGCCTTCCAGCAGCCTCCCTCCCACCCTTCAAGCCCCCCTTTCCTTCAAGTGACAGGAAACCCCCCACACACAAACACACACACCCCTCACCTCCCGCATGTGTCTCTTGCACACAGGGCTCCACACCCTGCAGTGGATGTACGGCTGTGAGGTGGGGCCAGACGGGCGGCTCCGCAGGGGGCATTACCAGTTCGCCTACGATGGGGAGGACTTCCTCGCCTTCGACAGGGAGACCGTCAGGTGGACGGCCGCTGTGCCCCAGGCCGAGATCTCCAGGCAGAAGCTGGACATGCGGCAGGACATTTCCCAGCGCGTGAAGGACTACCTAGAAGGGACCTGCGTGGAGTGGCTGCGGAGGTACCTGGCCTACGGCAACGAGACCCTGCTGAGGACAGGTGAGCTGGGGGGGGGGAACAAGAGGGGGTCATCTCCATCATGAGGGGGGGCTCAGCTTGTGGGAAGGGGGGGTCTGGGGAGGAGTTCAGAGCTGGGGCTCCTCCCCGTGTGTCAAAAGGGCCTCTCTGGAGCTGGGAAATGGCTGAGCTCTTCCGCTCCCCCTCTGGTTTCAAGAGGGTACTGGATAAACAGAGGTACATCAGTGGTTATTAGCCATACGGTATAGATGGAACACTCTATCTGGGGCAGGGATGCTCTGTCTTCTTGGCGCTTGGGGGGAGGGCAAGAGTGGGAGGGCTTCTGGAGTTCTGGCCCCGCTGGTGGACCTCCTGATGCACCTGGTATTTTTGGCCACTGTGTGACACAGAGTGTTGGACTGGAGGGGCCATTGGCCTGATCCAACATGGCTTCTCTTATGTTCTTATGTCTGGGGCAGTGATGCTCTGTCTTCTTGGTGCTGCGTAGGGCAACAGCGGGAGGGCTTCTGGAGTTCTGGCCCCTCTGGTGGACCTCCTAACGACACCTGGGTTTTTGCCACTGAGTGATAGTGCATTGTACTGAATGGACCATTGGTCTGATCCAACATGGCTTCTCTTATGTTCTTATGTCTGGGGCAGTGATGCTCTGTCTTCTTGGTGCTGCGTAGGGCAACAGCGGGAGGGCTTCTGGAGTTCTGGCCCCTCTGGTGGACCTCCTGAGGGCACATGGGTTTTGGCCACTGAGTGATAGGGTGTTGGACTGAATGGACCATTGGCCTGATTCGGCATATGATCTCTTATGTTCTTATTATTTTGGCACTACATGGCACCTGGATCCAAAACATGGATCCTCAGGATATTTGCATGGAATCCCCCCCAAATTCACCACTAAATCTCTCTTCACAGTGATTTGCACACAGTGAACCACAAAGAGCAGATTCCACAGTTTTCTGGTGCCACTATGGTGCAGAAATGATGGATCCAAGGTGCAGGTCCTCATGATTTTTACACAGATGCAACCAAAACCTGCTGTAAATCCACACATTATGTCAATATCCATAAACTGTATCATAGAAAACTTAGCACGGAAGTGTACTGAAAACATGGATCCTGATTGGTCTGTATGTTTGGTTCCTCTGAATGTAACAAGGCATTTGTGAGTCGCAGCAATGTCCGTGGACTGGATGGGCAAAAACTTGGAACTGGCATTTCATGACATCGCTGTGGCACATTGGAGGCATGGATCCTCATGATTTTTACATGGAACCAGTGTTCCCTCTAAGCTGAGTCAGTGTGAGCTACTTCACAGTTTTTAGCCTCTGGCTCACACATTTTTGTCTTGGCTCAGGAAGGATAGCGCTAAAGCAAACTGATTCATGCAGCAGCCCAATCGCTCGCTCACGACTTTTATGCCAGGAGGAGCTCACAAAGCTGAATTTTTGCTCACAAGACTCCACAGCTTAGAGGGAGCTGTGACGGAATTGAAAATCTGGGACCAGCAGGATGTTAAGATAGATCCCTGCTGAGTCACATGACATAGAGGGGAGGGGGCCTTTTGGCTGGAGCACTCCCTGAGTGACAGAAAACTGACCTAGCTGACAGTTGGAAGAGGCAGTTGGAAGAGAGTCTGAGGAGTTGGGGGGGGGGTAAGGGATCTGGAGTGAGGAGTCTGGAAGGCAGGTTAGGGGACCAGTTAGACTCAGGGGGGGCCAGACCAATTAAAGCCAATAAGTTAACCACGGAAGGGGCGAACAACAGACAGCCTAAGACAAGGCAAAGTGATATAAATATTTCAACAAAGTATCTGAACATCCCATGTAAATATATCCCATCCCCCTGTTGTGTTTTCTGTGCAACAATAAAATAACGGTGCCTTTTTGAATGTTATAAGTATTGGTGCCGGACTTTCTGGGGAGCCATAGACTGTGCAGTAGTCCTCAAAGAAGGCAGCCTGAAATATACAAACCCTGAAGAGAATATTATACATTGGGTGTAGAGGACTGGTCAGGAAAAATAAAATCAACTCTGACTAGGTCCTGACACGCAGACCCTCACAGAACTGACAGTATAAAGGGGGTTGTGTCATAGGAGCATTGCAAACCACCAAAACCCACCATAGAATCAAAGATCACACCAGCGTCAGCGAGCATGGGTGTGTTTTTGGAATAGGCAGTAGATTTCGGAGGACCGTGTGCAAAAAAACGGGAGGATCCATGCACTTCTGCTACAGGAGCAGCGTGGAGTGTTGGAGCTGTGATTTCTAGGATGTACTCTGAAGACATCCAAGTTGATCTGTAGTTTGGTGGTCAATTTGGGGCATGTGTGTGTATGTGTGAAAGAGGTTCTCTGTATATAAAAAAATCTAGACGGTCTATGTAGATCTGACTTCTCTTCACTTCTACCCTCCCCTGACAAGTTTCCCAGGATTGTTATTTTTTTTTGAATGTCAAAAATCTTGCCCATTCGGGGTGAAGGTGTCTGGAGCACCCTTTCCGTTCAGACAAACAACTTAAAAAAATCAGTGTGAGGGCTGAGTGTCTTGGAGCATGTGCAGAGGGCATTGTATCTTGCAGAAAGCTAAGAAATCTCTGGCCACGTTGGTTTTGTTTTGTTTTTCTGGTTCATCTTGTCCAGGCTGGTTAGTAGACCTGAGATGGCCTGAGTTGGTACCTCTGCTCTGTGGGGCGGGGTTTCTTGCTCATGACACAAAAATGAATATTAAGCATCATTTATTTAAAAAATAATGAATTGTGGGAAAGATATTCACCCTTGCAGGAGCTCACTTAGCCGGTCTCAGAACCACCATTTAATTTCCAAGTCTAGACTGGAGAATCCCCTTCGGTGGGATTTTGCACCTCTTGAAGATGCTACAGTTTTGGTACATTAACTCCGGAGTGGGACTGGATGACCGCAGGGGGTACTTTGAAGGCCAGTCTCCAATCTCTCATCTCTGGAGAGGCCGCGTGTTAACCCAGAATGGCATTGTCCTTTCCACAGAGCGGCCAACATGGAGGGTGGGCCGCAAGAAGGGCCACGATGGACAGGAGACCCTCTTCTGCCAGCTCTGCGGCTTCTACCCCAAGGAGATCGAGGTCACCTGGATGAAGGACGGGGAGGACAGGAAGCCGGAGACCATGTCGGGGGGTGACGTCCCAAACTTGGACGGGACTTACAACACCTGGCTCAGCATCGACGTCGACCCCAAGGAGAGGGACCGCTACCGGTGCCAGGTGGAACATGACAGCCTGCTGGAGCCCCTGGTCTTGGCCTGGGAGGAGCCGGGTGAGCGACTGCGGGAGCGGGAGAGGGGGGTCCCCTTGGGGATGTTGGTGGGGGGCTGGCAGAGTGTGGGAGGCAATCTTTTGCTCAGGAAGGAAGGAAGGAGGGACTCCCGGAAAAGACGCCCTCCAGCTTAGCAGGCTTGCTTGGGGGGTCCTGACCAGATGCTGGTACCCTTGTGATAAATGGGTGGCGGGCAGAGTGTCCAGGTGGGCTGTGGCAGAGGGATGGGAGGGGCAGGAACTCGGTGTGGGTTGTGTGTCATCGCACGTAGAGTCTCCTCAGTGCAATTCCCGCCACCCCCAGCGACCCGAGACGCTTTGGCTGGGAGTTCCCACCCTGAGGCCTTGGAGGGCTCCTGCCAGGCTGAATATCGATGACATTTTGTCCCTTCCCTTCCGTCCTCAGCATCCCACTTGGACCTCATTGTGATCATTATGATCATTACTGGCTTGTTTCTTCTGGTTGTTTCCATCCTGGTGGGGGTCTTTGCCTTCCGCAGTAAGTAAACAGGGAATGCCTTGGCTGAGCAGGGTCCGTGTGTGTGTGTGTGTGTGTGTGTGTGTGTGTGTGTGTGTGTGTGTGTGTGAGGTTCTTGTGGCGGGGCGTAATAGCTAATAATGGGTCTGCCCTTTATGAATTTATAATCGTACAGTTGGAAGGGGCCATACAGGCCACCTAGTCCAGCCCCCTGCTCAGTGCAGGATCAGCCTAAAGTATCCCTGACAAGTGTTCATCCAGCTGCTGCTTGAAAACTGCCAGTGAGGCGGGGGGGGGGGGGGCCCCCCCCCCCCCCCCGCGGCTTCTCAGAAAAGTCGTCCTCAACAGATCAGATAGGACAGTAAACCGGCACTGAAATCTCCAAACCGACATGTCGAAAGTGGGGCAGGTCGCAGGCCTCAGGCAGAGGGGAGGGGCTAAAAATCTGGTCTCCCCGAGCCCTGCCTGGGACCCTCTCCTCTAGTCCACCCCCATGCGCTAGAGGCGGAGGGGGCTCTACGCAAGAGAGTGAAATAGCCCTCTCATGGCCAACCCACAGAATTCACATTCCAGGGTGGTGGAGAGCAAGTGGGGTTCATCTTGTCTCCTGGCCGCATTTTCTCCCAGCACTTAGACCCACCCGGAATTAACTGAGCTCCTCTGACTTCCGTGGGGGTGCCTCTTGCGTAGATGCATCTCTCATTTCGACAGGCAGTTTCTCCTTAGTGCCACAGTCCGAGGAACCTCCGCTCGTCCGCTCCCCTCCCTTCTTCCTGGGTGTCTCGACACAGGGTCAGGTCTCTTTCCTGGTGTGTGTGGGGGGCGTCTAGTTGTGACTTGGGGGGGGGTGTTCCTCTGTTCCTGTCCAATGGCTAAATGAGAGGCATCCCCATTTCCTCACACCAGGAGTTGCTAGGGGAAGTTTTTGGGAGGTAGTTAAAAGGGGATTGGAGCAGCATCTGCCAAGGGTGGGGTGGGGGCATGAGAACCAAAGCGGCCGGCTTCACTGGACAGCGGGTGAGCGGATGGGTGACCTCTGGGTGTCCCTTCCATCTTTGACTTCCTGCTTCTCTCTCTGCAGGAAAATGGAATGTGAAGTGCTACGAAGCAGAATCAAGTGAGTTTGTGTCCCTTCCTCTCCGGGGTGTTCCTTCCACATAGAAAATGGGGGCGGGGAGTGGGAGGCGTCCACTTAAGTATAAGCGACAGACCCAGAGCCCCACCTCCCCACTGAAGTGGCCTAGGAAAGGGAAGGGGGGGGTCTTAGTCCATCTACAGCCGGGTGGCTTCTCGGTTACGCCGATATCAAGGCCGTTGCATGAGAAACAGGAATAAAAGCATTTGAGTTTTCTCTGTCCTGCCTCTCCACAAAGTGCTCCAAACAGCTGATAATCAAATCAAACAGCAAAAAACGCCAGCAGTTTTAAAAAGTCCTCAGGAGTAGGAAGCAAAAGCTAGACTCTTAAGCATTTTTCATTTGAGCCAAGGGGCAGGGTGGAACTGTCTTAATAAACACATCAGTTTAATGTCAATGATGGTGAATTGTGTAACCTGGAGGATCTAGTCCCAGAGAGGCAGAACGGAGATTCTGACCGGGACCTTCCAAATGGGCAGTGATTGGGCCGCAGGAGGTCCTTCCTTCCTTCCTTCCTTCCTTCCTTCCTTCCTTCCTTCCTTCCTTCCTTCCAGCTCTCACCACTTCCGGTGGCAGTGAATTCCACCTGTTCGTGACTCTTTGTGTGAAGAAGAAGCCAGTTTGGTGTAGTGGTTAAGTGCGCGGACTCTAATCTGGGAGAACCGGGTTTGAATCCCCACTTCTCCACTTGCAGCTGCTGGATGACCTTGGGCAAGCCGTAGTTCTGATAAGAGCTGTTCTTGAAAAAGAGCAGTTTCTATCAAGAGCTCTCTCAGCCCTGCCTGCCTCACAGGGTGTCTGTTGTGGGGAGGGGGAATGGAGAGGAGTTTGTATGCCGCTCTGAGATTCCCTTGGGTAGTGACGGGCGGGGTATAAATCCAATCTCTTCTTCTTCTTAGCAGTGTCACAGTTTAGAGCCGCGTCTCCCAGGAGGTCCCTGGGCTTGCTTGGGGGGTCCTGACCAGATGCTGGTACCCCCTGTGTTGAGTGAGTGGGGAGGGGGGAGAGTGTCCAGGTGGGCTTTGGCTGGGGGGGATGGGGGGGCAGGAACTCGGGGTGTGTGTGTGGGGGGGGTGTCATTGCACGCAGGGTGTCCTCAGTGCAATTCCCGCCGCCCCCAGCAACCCGAGACGCTTTGGCTGGGAAGTCCCACCCTGAGGCCTTGGAGGGCTCCTGCCAGGCTGAATATCGATGGCATTTTGTCCCTTCCCTTCCATCCTCAGCATCCTACTTGGACCTCATTCTGAGCATCGTTGCCTTGATTCTTCTGGTTGTTTCCATCCTGGGGGTGGTCATTGCCTTCTGCAGTAAGTAAACAGGGAATGCTTGGCTGAGCAGGGTCTGTGTCTGTGAGGTCCTTGTGGCGGATCCCCCCTGAGGGTCGTGGGGGTGGCACAGGGCCCCTGGGGGGGGCAGACGTTGCTCCCATATCCAGTGGTGCCCCCAACCCCTCCCCACATGATTGGCCTTTTGAACAGGGACTGGCAAGTCCTTATTTGTTAGCTTATTTTAAAGTACTTCCAGCTGGCCTTGTTTGCTGTAGTGGTTAAGAGCCAGTTTGGTGCACTGGCTCTGAACCACTACTTAGACCCACCGGGAATTAATTGAGCTCCACCGACTTCCGTGGGGGGGCCTCTTGTGTAAATGCATCTCTCATTTTGACAAGCAGTTTCTCTCCAGTGCCACAGTCCTGGGAACCTCGGCTAGTCCACTCCCCTCCCTTCTCCCTGGGCGTCTCGACACAGGGTCAGGTCTCTTTCCTGGTGTGTGTGCGGAGTGTCTAGTTGTGACTTGGGGGGGGGGTGTTCCTCTGTTCCCATCCAATGGCTGAATGAGAGGCATCCCCGTTCCCTCACACCATGAATACCTAGGGGAAGCTTTTGGGAGATAGTTAAAAGGGGATTGGAGCAGCATCTGCCAACGGTGGGGTGGGGGGTTAAGAACCCAAAGGGCCGGCTTCATTGGACAGCAGGTGAGCGGATGGATGGCCTCTGGGTGTCCCTTCCGGCTCTGACTTCCTGGTTCTCTCTCTGCAGGAAAACTACTGAAGAGCGATGAAGAAGCATCAGGTGAGTTTGTGTCCCTTCCTCTCTGGGGAGTGTCCACTTAAGGATCAGACGCATCGCCCCACCTCCCCACTGAAGTATAGGGGGGGAGTCTTAGTCCATCTCCAGCCGGTTGACTTCTCAGTTACGGACGTACCTCGTCCAAGCAGAACCTCCGGAGAGCCAATCTCAAGGCCATGTTGTATGAGAAACGAGTAAAAGCATTTGAGTTTTCTCTGTCCTGCCTCTCCACAAAGTGCTCCAAATAGCTGATAATCAAATCAAACAGCCAATAACGTTATCAGTTTTTAAAAGTCCTCAGGAGTAGAAAGCAAAAGCTAGACTCTTAAGCATCGTCTTAAGCATTGAGCCAAGAGGCAGGGTGAAACTGTTTTAATAAACACATCAGTTTAATTTCAACGATGGTGAATTGTATGACCTGGAAGATCCAGTCCCAGAGAGGCAGAACGGAGACTCTGACCAGGACCTTCCAAACGGGCAGTGATTGGGCCGCAGGAGGGCCTTCCTTCCTTCCTTCCTTCCTTCCTTCCTTCCTTCCTGCCTTCCTTTTTTCTT